GCGGCTGAAGCATTTGCCGCACTCGGGACATTTGTAGGGTTTCTCGCCGGTGTGGACGCGTTGGTGGATGGTGAGCTCGGAGCGTTGGATGAAACTTTTGCCGCATTCGGAGCATTGATAAGGTTTTTCCCCCAAGTGGATGCGTTGGTGTTTGATGAGGTTGGATGAAACGCTAAAACATTTCCCGCAGACGTTACATTTGTAGGGTTTCTCCCCCGTATGCATCCGGCGGTGTTTGGTGAGGTCGGATTTTTGGATAAAACCCTTCCCGCAATCGGGACATTTGTAGGGTTTCTCGCCGAGGTGCGTCCGTTGATGTTTGATGAGGTTGGAACGCACGCTGAAGCTTTTCCCGCAATCCCCGCATTTGTAGGGTTTTTCTCCCGTATGCATCCGGCGATGTTTCACCAACGCCGAATTTTGCCCAAAACTCTTCCCGCATTCCGGGCACGTATACGGTTTATCGCCCGTTTGCGTTCCTTGGTGTTTAACGTTTTCCGAGCGATACGTGAAATTCTTCCCGCATTCGCTACATTTATGGGTCCTCTCCGGCGTCGGGCGGTTGCGTGAACCCCAAAAAAAATTTTTCCCGCAATCGGTACATTTACAAGGACGTTCGGTTGCGCCGGTAAAGAGCCGCCGGCGTTTGGTAGAAACGAAAAAACTCTTCCCGCAATCGCTACATTGCCAAGGTTGTTCAGCGCCGGCGTGGACGCGTTGGTGTCTTTCCAAATGGGAACTTTGGGAAAAACTTTTGCCGCAATCGCCGCACCGATAAGGTTTTTCCCCCATGTGGATTCGCCGATGACGGTCGAGGTGGGAACTCCAAGCGAAACTTTTACCGCAATCGCCGCATTGGTAAGGTTTGCCAGCGGCGTGGCTCCGTTGATGTTGAAGCAACGCGGTGTTCAAACCGAACCCTTTCCCGCACTCCCCGCACTTGTAGGGTTTCTCGCCGGCGTGAACGCGCCGGTGTTTTGCCAAGGCGGCCGTTTTGGCGAACCCTTTCCCGCATTCGCCGCATTGCAAGGGTTTTTCGGGATTTTGAGAATTTTCACCGTCGCGACCGCAATCGACGCAACGGCAAGAAGGTTCGCCGGCCGCCGCGTGTGTCCGGCGATGGCGGTCGAGGTGGGAACTCCAACTGAAGCTTTTCCCACATTCGGGGCAAGCGTACGGTTTTTCACCGGTGTGAATCCGGCGATGCCGTTCCAGGTGGGAATTCCAGTTGAATCCCTTCCCGCAATCGCCGCATTTATAAGGTTTTTCTTCCAGGTGTAATTTTTGGTGTTTTACCAAACTGGCGCTGGCCGGAAAACTCTTCCCGCAAACTCCGCATTGACACGGAGCCGCTCCGGCGCCGGCACCGGCGTGGACGCGTTGGTGTTGGATGAACGCCGAGCCCACGCTGAAGGTTTTGCCGCAATCGGGGCATTTGTAGGGTTTCTCGCCGGCGTGACGGCGTTGGTGGGTGATGAGGGTAGAGCTGAGGCGGAAACATTTCCCGCATTCGGCGCATTTATGGGGCCGCTCGGCGCCACGCCGGCGTTTGGTAAAAGCCGAACCGAACGCCAAGGCTTTGCCGCAATCGTGGCAACGGCCTGGAGCCAGTAAAGTCCGCGGGGGGAATTTTTTGAAGCCGCGGTGACTCGATTTCCCCTGCCGTTTGCCCGATGGTTTTTTGGGTTGGTTTTCTGCTTTTTGGGGACTTTCGGCGGGTTTCGTCC